GGAGGGGCCGGGGCGGGACGAGGAGGGGGGTCTCGGCCCAGATCTTGGCCTAGTGGGCTGGAAGTCACCCTTTGCTAGGGCAGTGTGGGAGATGAAGCCCGCGTCGCCTTCTGGCAGGGCTTTTTCCTTTTTCTCGTGTTTTTCTATAGCAGAAGAAAGCCCCACGGAAGGTTTTGACCTCACATTGAGTGAAAAGAAGGTTTCCGTAAAGCCTGTGGGGGGTTGGTTTTAATACCTTAACAATTCATTGTAAGTGGGAAAGGGAAGGAGGATCCGGTATAATTCCAGAAGGTATTAATAACAAATACGGTATGATGATAACAGATCCTTTTTAAAGGGTGCTGTTCAGACCAGCAAGGTATATTGGACGTTTTTTCATATTTTTAAAAGAAGCTGGTGCTGCTAGCAGTGGGACTTTCCCCTCACGGATTTAGAGGCACAAGGATTGTTAAAGGCTGTAAGCTTTACAGAAAGTTCACTCTGATACTTAAGTTTGTTTGTTTGTAGTCATTGTGATTCTCAAGATTGCTGGGTGCAGCATTTCAGCAGTGAAACATAATTTAAATAGAATAATAGAATGGTGAAGGTTGGAAGGGACCTTAAGGACCATCAGGTTCCAACCCCCTGCATGGGCAGGGACACCTCCCACCAGACCATGTTGCTCCAAGCCCCATCCAACCTGCCCTTCAACACTGCCAGGGATGGGGCAGCCACAGCTTCCCTGGGCAGCCTGGGCCAGGCTCTCACCACCCTCACAGGGAAGAATTTTTTCCAGGTGTCTAATCCTAAATCTCCCCTCTCTCAGTTTAAAACCAATCACCCCTTGTCCTCTAACTGCCCTCTCTGGTGAAAAACCCCTCCTCAGCTTTCCTGTAGCCCCTTCAGGCACTGGAAAGCCACTGTGAGGTCTCCAAATAACAAAACTTGAATTACCTGTAACAACACAGGTGAGTTTTATATGGGCTTATTTCTAAGAGTAGATAGGAAGTAGTTCAGAAGGTGTAACTGAAGACTGCAGAGATTCATTTCTAGATTAATTCTACCCAAATGACTTGTAAATCACTTGGATTTCCAGCCTCAGATACAGCATTCTGGCTGTGCCTGGTGCTATGGAGCACTATTTAGAGTGAAAGTTATTGCTGTGATGATGTAATTTGCGTCTTATCCAGTGCTCAGCGACAGTTGCCTGCTGTCAGCCAGCTGGCACTGCTGAACTGAAGACCTCTTCATTCTGAGCAATAGCTCTTGGGATTTGAACACGAGCAGTGGACCTGACTTGGGCTTAAGGATGATTTTTCCTTTTCCAGGCTTGTGCTCGGCCGTTGATCTCTGTCTACTCCGAGAAGGGGGAAGCATCAGGCAAGAATGTCACCCTGCCCGCCGTGTTCAAGGCCCCCATCCGGCCCGACGTGGTGAACTTCGTGCACACCAACCTGCGCAAGAACAACCGGCAGCCCTATGCGGTCAGCGAGCTGGCAGGTAGGGCAGGCAGGGCACTGGGCACTTGTGCTGGCCTGGGCCTGCAGTGCGAGGGAGCTCAGAGGGCAGCAGGTTGAGAATTGAAGGAAGTGCTGTTTGCTGGGGTTGTGTTTAGAGGGTAAGGCAGCTGCTCTGATTAGTAACAGTCTGATTTGAAATGCTATGAATACAGCTTTATTATTCTGAAGAACAGCCAGGTAGTGTAACAGGCTGGGACTAGTCTGGGGTCTTCTCTGAAATGTGTTTTACTGTGAGTGTCGTGGTGCCTGGGTCCTTGAGTGGCATCTATGAGAATAACAGGATGTCTACAAGTGTATGAGGCAGAAAACTGGTGACAAGCTGCCCTTCGTCATCCCTTTTGCACAGTAAGTGCAGCAGACTTACCTGAGGCATTTCCCAAGGAGAAACTTCTGCAAATCAACATTTGTTAGGGCTGCCTGAAAAGCTTCTAGATACAAATGGCTTCTGCTTCCAAATTATTTGTGCCAGGAACGTGCATTTTCAGGTTTCTTTCTGCTAGTGTTTCTCACAAACATTTTAACCCACTAGGAGCAGCACTGGCAGTTCAGATTTCCAAATTGAGGATCAAGCGTAGAAATGAGTGTGTTAATGTGCTTGATTCTGACCCAAGCAGATCTTTAACGTGGTATCAGTTAATTTACCTGACTGGGATTCGTTTTGCTGAAATGATGAGATTCCACTTCATTGGTCCGTGTTTCTGAAACACATGATAAGAGTGGAAGTTCTGATTGGTGCTCCTGAATTGTACCTGTCTGTGCCTTGATGAAAATTGCCATGTTGTCACTGTCTGACTGAAACTCTTTCTGTTCCAGGTCACCAGACCAGTGCTGAGTCCTGGGGTACTGGGAGAGCAGTCGCTCGTATTCCCCGAGTGCGAGGAGGGGGAACTCACCGCTCCGGCCAGGGTGCCTTTGGCAACGTATCCTTTCACAGCTGCTGCTGCTGCCACTGGGTGCCCTGCACTCAGCAAGCAGTAGAAACATATTTTTAAGAATCTAAACATAACATGGAATCTTCTACTTGAGATAACAGCTACCTACAGCGAGCTGCACCACAGGTCTGAGACATTTATCATGTGATTAGACCCTTTTCTATGCCAGTTCAGACTTGCTTTAATGAACAGCAGCTTTCACTGATTCCCCCCACCACAAAAGCAGGTGTCTTGCCTCTGGTGACACGTACCATCTTGCCATGATGTCGTAATTTGCGTCTGACTCTGTGCTCAGTGACAGTTGCCTGCTGTCAGCGTGCTGGGACAGATGTTTGATGAACAGCAAACGCTGAGCAAGGGTTAGATTCAGCCAAGGAAAAGGAGCTTCAAAAGGTTGTTCTTAACTGTGGATGCTCTAGATGTGTCGTGGGGGCCGCATGTTTGCCCCCACCAAGACCTGGCGGCGCTGGCACCGGCGGGTGAACATCGCGCAGAAGCGTTACGCCATCTGCTCCGCGCTGGCCGCCTCCGCCCTTCCCGCGCTGGTCATGTCCAAAGGTGGGAATTCTGCCCTGGAAGTCAGCACCTGCAGTTCTGTGTGCCCCGAGCAGTTACTGTGAGATGACTTGATCACTGTCCTATCCCATACAGGGTGTAAAGGCTGTCCCCTCTTCAGTGGGGAGGGGGGTATTTTTGTTATGCACAACTCCCAAGTATTTGCAGTTCCAAGGTGCTGGAAGTTCAGCCATGCTGAGGTGCTTCTGTGTGTGCTGCTGGCACAAGCCTTGTCCATGTGGTTTATGGAAACAAATGGAATCTTGCATCACGTGGCAGTGCAGTTGGATTGCTGTCCATGGAAGCCCAAGATTTGCTTAATACTTACCTCAGATACAGAAGGTGCTGCCTGAGGTAGATCTCTAAGGCTCCACTGAAACTTCACTGCTGTAGTTACTGTGCCTGAATGTTAGATCATGAACTTAATTTGCACTGTTGGTCAACCATTTTGTGCCATTACTGAATACAAGGCAATGACTGAGAGATGTGTTGAACTAAGGTCAGGGGGTAACTTCATGTCTTGTCACATCCTTGCTAGGCCACCGCATCGAAGAGATCCCAGAACTTCCTCTGGTTGTTGAGGACAAAGTTGAGAGTTACAAGAAAACCAAGGAAGCTGTTCTGCTTCTTAAGAAGCTGAAAGCTTGGAATGACATCAAAAAGGTGAATTGCTAAGCTATGTTCTTAAGAGGAACACCCAGGTGATGTGACTGCTACTGTTACAGTAGGAATTCCAAATAGTTCTGGTTTTATTTTATGCCACTAGAAATCCCATAGTAAAAACAGGAAACTGTAAAAGACAGAATTGAAGCAAAGTGAGTGTCTTGCTGTGCTGCTTTACTCTGTGTTCAGTTGTCTTCATGTCAGTGTTCCTTCACATGCATAGTGCTGCTTTCCTTACGCTTATGAATGATGAACTTCTCACTGGTCCGTGTTTCAGACAAGCAGTGGTGATTGTGAAGTTCTGACAAAAGCAGTTTGGTTTTGTCTTTTCTCATGGGATCTGCACTGTTTTCAGTATTGACAAGTTTGATGTTTCTGTAGGTTTATGCCTCCCAGCGGATGCGGGCGGGAAAGGGTAAAATGAGGAATCGCCGTCGCATCCAGCGCCGGGGCCCCTGCATCATCTACAACGAGGACAATGGCATCATCCGAGCTTTCCGGAATATCCCAGGTAACTGCAGCCTGGGACACGCTTCCTGTTTTGTTGGGAGACTGCCTAGAATGATGAGATTCCACTTCATTGGTCCGTGTTTCTGAAACACATGATTTTGTGGAAGTTCTGACTTGCTGAAGCATCTAAGATGTTCTTTCTAAGAACTTGTTTTGGTGAGGTTGGGGATGTTCATGAGAAATTTTCTGGTTGTTGCCAACCCTAAACTGCATTTGGAGCAGTTAAAAATGAGCTGTCAAGTTTGTTACTGGAAGAAGACGGATGATTTGTTTTAGAATGTAATATTTCCTGGGTAGGCGTGTGTAACTGGCATAGAGGCTAATAAGCCCACATCTCTATTATTTTGTCTGTTTATTGCATCATCTTGCATTCCTTGATTTTAATTACAAAACAAAGGGATGGGTGTGCCTGTTTTTGATAGGAATTACTCTTCTCGATGTGAACAAGCTGAACCTGCTGAGACTTGCTCCTGGTGGCCACGTTGGGCGTTTCTGCATTTGGACAGAAAGCGCCTTCCGCAAGCTGGACGACCTGTACGGCACCTGGCGCAAACCTGCCACGCTCAAGAGTGACTACAAGTGAGCACAGCCCTGCTGGGCACCACGGGCTGGGGAGCAGCCCTGCTATGCCCCAGCTCCTACTGGTGGGAGGGGGCCAATCAGTACTAGTACTTTCTCCTAAGTGCCTGTTTTTGTTGCATTAGCCATGTTTTTATTGTCCAGCTGACACTATGCACGTTGGTTTCACAGCCTGCCGATGCACAAGATGACCAACACGGACATTGGGAGAATCATGAGGAGCCAGGAAATCCAGAAGGCACTGCGTGCTCCTAAGTAAGTGTTCATCTCTAATGAATGTGCAGTGTCTCTTTAAGCACTGCCAAGTGTACCACGCTGTGTTGTGAGATGGACATCTCTGCCTTGGGACGTCAGATGGGGCAGGGGTTTCTTTAGCTTCCCAGGTACTAGGAATTGTGCTTCCCCAAGTTTCAGGGATGATTTAGCAAAATTGCAATTTAGAAATGAGATGGTGATACATGTCTGTTCTTGTCAGGAAGAAGATTCGCCGTAGAGTCCTGAAGAAGAATCCACTGAAGAACCTGAGAATCATGATCAAGCTGAACCCCTACGCCAAAACGATGCGTCGCAACACCATCCTGCGCCACGCGCAGAACGTGAGTCAGCTCGGGGCTGGCAGTGCCAGGGGGGGTCACTGCTCCACACAGCACCCTGATCATCTGCTTGTCTTTTTCAGCATAAACTTAAGGAAGAGAGGAGAGAAAAGGCCAAGGCCAAGCTCGCTGCCAAGGTCCCAGCTGAGCCCAAGGCAGAGCCTGCAGCCAAGAAAGCCAAGACTGCAGCCAAGGCCAAGGCTGAAGCGTAAACTCAGTGCAGAACCCAGTGCAATCCTCTTGAGAGCCCGAGCCTGTGCTGTGGGTTTACAGCCAATAAAGTCCGGTGGAACAGAGAAATGCTGTCCTGGTGTTCAGACGCGGTTTGTTCGGATAGGCCTGTCTGAGCGGGTTTTAAAAGAGAAACTCAAGAACGGGACGGACAGGGTCGTGCTGGGCTTTCCCGTCCTTCCTGCCCCCCGGGCCGTGACGTCCCGCGGCCGCGCGGGGGCA